TATACTGCAGTATATAAATAATTTTAAAAGTCAACACCCAATTCTGCCTTGGAGGTTATTTTAGTTTAATAGGTGAGGGTGTTGTCAGGACTAAAAAATGTTAAACACGGTGGCAGGCTATGATTCATCTCCATAAACACAACTAACATTGGATGAGAAACGTTGGGAGGCAAATCAAAAAAGAAGAAATCCAATAATAATCCTGGGACTAATTCCATTCCAGAACGTTCTGACCCAACAGTTTGGTGTATTTGTATCTGAATACCAAAAAACACACAAAACACAAATTTGATGTCCCCCTATGAGGACATTCCAGCGTCCCCTGGCATCTTGTTCCCCAGTAGCCTTCGAATGAAGACCCCATCAGTGAGCCTCTCACTGGAACCCCTCAGAGGATTGGAAATGCCTGTGCTGTCAACACTGTAGTACCCAGAACATGCATAAAAAGCAGCCCAGGAATCCAGCATTGCCCTGGCAGAGGCCATGTTAGCACACGTCGGCAAGTTGTCACTTGTTAAAAACAATACAAGCAAAGTTTGGAATGTCGGCTGGCTTTTTCACCAGCTATGTGGTTGTCAGTTCAAGCCAAGATTATGGCATCTGTTTGGATCATCTGAAGCTGAGCCGCAAGATTAAACACTTGAGATGCTACCTTGTGGGGTGGTCTGATTTTAGATGTGGTTAACCTGTAACAAAACACTCACAGTTCCTCGCTCTTTAAACTAATGCCACCTGTTGGTATGGCATGAAAAGCTCCATCTAAGCGCTTTGTTCTTCATCAATTTTTCACTCTTATTCTGCGTTTATCCTCTCTTGTATCTTTTCTTTTAATCCTTTCTTCTCGCTCGGCTTTTCTTCTTCCCCTTTATGCTTTCTGCCGTGTGCGTGTCTGCATCAGGACTTCTATGGGGGCAGCGTTGGCAGAGCAACAAAGACTCAGGAGGCAGCCTTGATACACACACTGTATTCAATTAACTCTGCACACTCAGAACACTTCCACACAC